TCTATTCCATTCCACTGACCTGTTTATCCTTGCTCCAATAAAAAAAAATCTTACATGTGAAATTTTAATTTTTGAAAATTTCTCAAGCTTAGTTTTTCCTCCACATTTTCTTGAATGTTTGCTTTTTGATTATCCATATATAATTTAGAATCAGCTTTTTAGTTTACACATATACACACAAGCATGAACACAACATTTGCTAATAATTCGTTTGGGATTGCTTGAACATCTTTACAATAACAAGTTTCAATTTATGGCTAATACATTTACCCACTGCTTTACATGTGTAGACTTATTATACATCTATTTGATAGTTTTGTTTTGGGATGTCATGTTATCAAATCATATTGCAACAGGTATCTTTTAATTTTTATTTTTTATTGATTGCTTTTGGTGCCCATGGATATTTTCAATATTTTTATCTGTCTCTGTGTTGGCCAATACAACAGTGTGTAGTTATATAACTATTTTTACATTTAAATGTACTAGAGAGCTATTTATTGTCATGAATTGTCATTTATAAATATCTTAGCTTCACCTGACAATTACTTTGCTAAATTATAAAATAATATTACATTGGAAGCTTAGTTATAATCACAATAAAAATTTTATTTCCTTATACTTTATTTTTAAGGTTTTCATTAAATTTAGCACTTTATCTTTCATCATTATTGGGTCACATTTACATTTTTGATACATTACTCCATTTCTTCCTTTTAAAAGTATATTTCAATCATATTTGACACTTTCTTCATATTCTTATATCAAGTTATATTTAAAATTGTATTTTGGTTTAATTTTCTAATGAAAGAAATTTTTGCCATTATATTTTCAAAGTAGATATTGGAGTTTCATGACCAATCCAGCTGTAGGTTAATAGACGGAGTCTATAAAAACCATTAACTTGGGCTGAACATGGTGGCACACACTTGTAATCCCATGTACTTTGGAGGCAGAGGTAGAAGAATTGCAGTTTGAGGCTGGCATGGGCAAAGTTGGTGTGAGAACCTACCTAAAAAGCAAACCAAAAGCAAAAGGGCTGGGAGCATGGCTCAAGTGTTAAAGCAATCCCTAGAACTGTCAAAAACACAAAACAAAACCATTAACTTATTCTTGATTCTGTTTGATCAGATATTGGAGAAAAATTATGTTATACTGATATATAGCCTGGTGTTATAATTTATTTGGCAAAATTTCTAACTCCTGAAAATTCAAAGTTTTAAGAAACAGATGAAGATATCAACTTGAACAGTTCAAAGTACATCTGTTAGATGAATCTTTGTCCAGTTTCAGACCTATAAGCCACAGTAATTTCTATACAACAATACTTGTATCATGCCATACATAATTCCCAATCAAACATATCAGCATGTTTCCATTGATCTTTTCTACTCCATACACGTTTCATTTCATATCTGATACCACCACCAAACCAGTTTTCTAAACCTTAGCTCACCCAATTAAAACTCATACTCATCTTTAAAATGAGAGTTCTGAACATGTAACTTCTTTGGTGGATTTCTATAGTTCTTGGCTGAGTTCAAACACCTTAAAATGGCTCATTATCTCACACACAGTTCCCTCCCTTTAATGTTTGCTCCTTTCTGCCTGCCTGCCTACCACATAAACACTTACTACATAGACACATCACACACACACACACACGCACACAAATCAAACCGTGCACTCTGGCAAAGCTCCAGCCACATCATCTTACCAATGCCCTGATATTTCAAATGCAATTTTAACATTAGATCTACTATTTGTGTTTATTATCACTAGACCAATATATCAAACACATTTGGACACTCACTAAATATCAGTTAAATTGAAGTAAAATTAACTTGCAAACAATTTGATAAGGTGAAAATTTTTGAAAATGAAGAGGAAAAGTCAGCTTTCTATATAGATCCCAGCAGTATCTGGGATCTAAGCCCTGCAAATCTTAGTTGTGGGATTTCCAGAAAGCCACCTTGCCTTCTGGCAACTTCAGTTCTTCATTTCTTCCCTGGAAATATATCAGAATTATTTATAAACAGAGAATTCTAGAGAGGATCTGTAAACATCAACCTTAGTGGATATCAAAGAAACGGAGCTTTGAAACAATATTGACAGTATATTTTCATTCATTATGCTGGAAGAGAAGTTTTAACTCCAGGAGCACTCAGTGTTAGTACCGGTGCACAGGAGAACAGGCTCACTGTTCTCTCTAGAACAATGCTGTCGTCTTTCTGGAGAGTAGTTTTAGAAATGTACTTTAAAGTTAAAAGAGCCATGGTATTCACAGTATCATAATACAATATTTACAAGTACTAAAAATAAAAACAAAATAAGTTAGAAAAAGTATTACACAAATCACAGAAAATCTATATAGTAGACTCACTCACAGTGATATTTTGATGACATTCAAAATTTGTATGCTAATGTGACAAAATTTGTCTTATGTTGAGAATAAAAACAGGATTCACAGCTACTTATTATGAATGAAAAAGAATCAGGACTATATTTATAGCAATATTTCTTAGTATTAAAATTATTTTAGGGTTTCAATCTTTTATGCTTTTTTTGTATTTTCCAAATGTTCTAAAACAAATATGCATTTTCAGCAGAGTGCAAAGTATATCATAGAAGACATCATTGCCTGAAGAAGATGAAAACTGGTTAAATCTGGGTTAGGAGAAAAATAAATAAACAGAACTTAGAGTACATTTAAATATAAGGCTGTGATGGTTAACTTGACTTTATCATAAGACTCAAAGATTTTTTGCCAGTGGTTTCCAGAAGGCATGTGGCAGAACACAAAAATAGCAAAGGGAAAAAGACACCAAAAGCATGCTCTTGAAAAGTAAGAAAAGCAGAGTACAAACACTGCTGATATTTAAATTATTGGGTGCAGATTATAAAATACCTATTTATACTACATTTAAGAGATAAAAAGTAACCTTTAATTTTCTGCATCAAATAAAGGATCATAGAATGCCTAAGTAAATTTAGAGAAAAAAAATCAAAACTTTAGTATAGGAACCATTACATTTGCCTATAAGCAACATATTTGTTAATTTACTGTGGAGCTAAGGATTGATGTAAGTGACATCATAATGTATTGGCTGAGCAAGCAAGGCACATAGCAAGCAATCCTTCCCCATAGCAGGGTGATAGTCCCAGCTCACATCATGGATTGTTGTGTTCTCAATTATCCATTATGTCTCTTAAGAGAATGGCTTCTCACTCCATTCATATGAGATTTAACCATGTGACATGTTTGCTCAGCGGAGACTGAGAAGAAGTAACATCTATGACCTTCCTATGGAAGGTGTAGGAGCCACTGAGTGACCTCACTAGTATACTTTTTCCTGTATTTACCAGAACATGCCTAGACGTATCCAATTCTTCACTCTGGATCACAAAATAATCACATGAAGTACAGATGCAGCAGATACAGCTAAACTGCAATGTAGGCAAGAATAAGCCTTCACACTTGTAAGGCAGTAAGATTTGGGGGCTGCTTGTTACTGAAGGGTACATCTGATACATGCTAATCCTCCTACACTCTTCTTATCCTCCAAAAGGAGCTCCACTCTAGCTTACCTACTCTTTAGATGTCTTTTTGTTGGCGTGTTTGTTTTCCTGTAGTCCTTTTCTTTAATAAAATAAGGGAATAAATTGTTGCAATATTAGCAACTATAATTTTAGATTATCCTTTATTAAATGTTCTTTTGCCTCCTTTTAAAATGTATTTAAGGTACAGATAAGTTTTACTAATCACTTGATTCTATTATTTCTGAAGGTAAAACAATCACTATGAAATTTTAAACAAATTTCCATACAATCAAGTATTATGATGACCACTCTCTCTTTCTTCCTTCTTTCCTCCCTTCAGTTCTTAATTATGGAGATCAATATTATGTGTCAGGAATTACACCAAGTGATGAGGGCTGAATGACAAAAAATAGTATTGTCCCATGTCTGCCCTTGTGGAGTTATATGCAGCCAATTGCATATTCCTACAACACAAAATTGCAAACTTGACTAATGATATGGAGAGGTGCTGTGTGCCACATATGAGTATAACAGAAAATGAATTTCATTGAATAGTCTATGAAGACTTCCCAGAACTCTCTCCTCCTCTGTAAACTTAAACAAAAGTAGCAACTATGTAGAAAGAGCAACAAAGAACATTCTAGAAAAAGAAAACACCATAAAAATGCCCTGTGGGTTGGTAAACAAATAGGACAAGTGGGAGAAATAGAAGCAAGCCACTTTTGTAACAAGCAATAAGGGTGAGCCAGGAGCAAGGTGAGATTGCAAAGGCATCCATGCCTCTTCAAAGGACCTCAAGGCATATGTGAAGAAGGGCTTTTGTCTCTTTACTCTGCTAAAGTTAATATAGATGTGGAAGGGAATTGATCATAAGTCTGAAAAAGAACATACATATCACAATATAGATAATGGATTAGAAAGGAAAAGCAGTGACTACATATAGACCAGTTTTGGAAGTCAGGTGAGTTATAATAGCTCATACCATACTGTTGGTTAAATAGTGAAGTGGATAGATTAGAATGGTGCTTAGTATGTGATACAGTCTTTGTTGAAATATTGAATATAAGAGTTGAAATGGGAAAAAGAGTAAAGAAAACTGGTTTCTGAGCCAAGATAGCTAGTTTACTAGTTGCAGGGAAGAATTGAGGGTTGACTGAAGGAGACCTTGAGCTTGAATAGACATATTTTAAATTTAAACTATCTTTGAGTATAAGAGTATATTCAAAAGGAGGTAAGATGAGTGTGCATTAAGATCCTTGTAGGATCAGATTTGTATCCTTTGACTTTTTCTAATGGTATCCATAGTGATTAAAGAGTAACATTTGGAATACAGCTAAACAAAATTTAAGTTAATTAACACAAATGCCACCATGTGACCCTAGGGATATAAATTGAAGAGTTTTATTACATTTCACATATTGGTATGCTGTATAAGAAAAAAAGGTTATTTGTAGAATTACCTTTCATTGGTTTTCTCTACAATGGAGTCCATTTCACTTTTAAGCCATCTGTTTTCCTCTAGCAGTTTATTATGTGCTATTGAAATATCTGAGTAGTCTTTTTCAACATTAGAAAGCTCAATATCCCAAGTTTTTTTCTTGAGAAAAAGAATAAACAAATAATTTATATAAGTGCAGTAATCAAAAAGAAAAAATATCCTAACAAAATACATTTTAACCACATGAATTAATATTTGAGAATAGTAGAACACTCTACTAGGAAGTAGAGAAAGGTCAACTTACAGCAGCATAAAAATCATTAAGTGTCTGTAGATACTGATTTTTGTAATATTTTTGCTTCCAGGATAGTTGTTCAAACAGTTTTTTCAAATCATCTAGCTAAAAAAAATGCACAGAAAATAAGTGAGTTGTGGAGCTTTCCTCTTTTTTATATAGTGAAAAATAGATTATATTTCATTTCATACAGCTCCCAAAATTTAATAAATATTAAGTAAAATAGTATAAAATAACACCATACACAGGCTGCTTCCATCTTTGAAAATTAATGTAAGAATCTGACAAAATATACCAAATCAAGGCTACTGTTCAAATGAATAATTAATCATGATAAAATGGAATGTATTTTAGCTATGCAAAAATTTGAAATCATTAACATTTTTGAATCATAATTCATCACATTAATAAAAGAAGAAAATAATCTGAATACTTTCCAAAATAATCATTTGATAAATTTACTATCTAGTTTCCATAATTTTTTAACAAGTAAAAGGATAAACTACTCAAATATAAAGAGTCAACACACATCTAAATAAATTTTGAAAGGAACTCAAGAGTAAAGACCACATTATCTTTTATCACCCTTATACATAATCATGCTTTGTGAAAGACTAGCTAATCACAATTGGATAATGAATCCAAATATTACTGCTATGACAAATAGATAATATACCTTCAATTTTAAATGATATGGTTAGATACTTAGGGAAACAGAAGAGCCTATCAAAAGCTAAAATAAATGATTTTGGTAAAATGGCTGGATATACAGATAAGGACATTCATAGATTTTATCTATAAAAGATATAATCCATTTTTAAAATATATTAATAATATTTTTTAAATTTTGATAAAAATATAAAACATTTTGGAGTAAATTCGATACAAAGAACCCATGTGAAGCAAACACAAACTCTTACAGAAGGCTACATCAAGATCCACAAGAATAGAATAGTGTGTAACAGAAAGTCTTAACAGAATATGATGTCAATTCCACCAAAATGAATATAAAATATAATAAAATGAAGTGTTCTATTTTGAATTGCATAAAATGAACTTTTAAAGGAAAAAAAGGAATCGGAACATGAAATTAGTGTTGAAAACTTGCTACTAAATACTTTAACATCCTATAATACCATGATATTAAAGCCAGGTGGGTTTTTTGTTTTGTTTTGTTTTGTTTTGTTTTTGGTCAGTGTAATAAAAAAAATCACAAAGAAAAACCAAGGGTAAAATATTTCTCAATTAACCATTTTTAAAGTATTTTTAATTCAATATGAGAGAACTTATCCAGTTAATGTGGCTATAAATAATGTGGAATCCCTGTTTCAAAAAAATACAAAGTGGTTTCTACCTCACATCCAACTCAAATCACAGAAAAGTAAATTTCAGATGGATAAATAATGCAAGCACAAAACAATACAAATTATTAGAATAATCAACTTGTGCTCATGTACAGTCTTTGGCTAAAGGACCTTGCTATGCTAACCAAGAGATCTGTTGGCATATTGTATATATTTTATAAAAGTTGTGTAGTAAAAGACACTATAAATAAAAATGAAACAAAGACCATAAAAAATGTGAAATAAAAGGTTAACATTCTTAGAATAAGTCCTAGTAAAGGACATCACAGAAAACGGTGGATTAAAAACCTCTGAAAACTTTCTCCTTCATAAATGCAATGAGAAGACAGACAAAACATTTATCAAAATTAGTTTAATCAGAATTCTGAAAAATAACCAAAGGCACTTATTCAACAACAATGTCCTGATCTTATGGTGTCTTAACTTCTTCTAGTCCCTCTCTCCAACTCTACAGATGCCTTGACAAATAAAAGCCAACATTCATGGTGAAAACCAGCAGTTGGCAATCATCAGAAGGAATAGAATCCAGCTGGAATGTTTTCAAGGTTTCATTCTCAAAGAACTGTCATTATTTAGCCTGTATGATCTTTTTTAAGAGATTTAACTTCTAAGGATGTCTATATTTGCTTGTCTTGATGCAGAGACCACTCAGTGCAAAGTCTTTCTCCAGAAAAGTCTGTTTCCAGGGCCTGGTTGTTAAAAAGATTACAGGCAATTGTTTAGCTTTGTGGCCAACTGAGACAATAGGTAACACTTGGAACAAGCAATAGATTAATCAGCAAACCTAAAAAGGAAAGTTGGAGACTGATGTCTATAGTAACTTTGTAAACTCCAACTATTCTTGGAAATGCAGAAGTCTGCAATGCCTAGGGTTGTGTAAAAATCCAGCATTGTTCACATGCCAGGAAATACCTAAGATGCTTCTTAAAACTTCACTCAAGAGTGACATTAAGGCTGTATGAAAACAGGAGTGAAAACTAAGGCAGTGTTGACAGCTGCCTGGATATTGTGCCTGCCAAAACAGGCACATGGAGCCCCTCATAGAAACTTGCTGTTCCTAGACTTCTAAGGATCACTGTTCAACCACTAACAAACCACTAGGTTGAGAATACATTTCAGTGGTCACACACGGGACAGAACACTGACTTTACAGAATTAGTTTTTAAAAGTCTCTAAACAAATGACCATTAGCAGACAGAAATTTAAGACATACAAAGAAACAAGAAAGTATGGACCATACAGGACTGTACAGAAGAAAAAAAAGCACTGAATAGAAGCCACCTCAGAGAAATGTTAGATACCAAGATATTGCTTTTTGTTGGGGGTGGGAGTAGTACTGGGATTTGAACTAGGCTATGTAGGTGCTCTATCACTTTAGTCATGCTTCCAACTCTTTTTACTTTAGTTATTTTTCAGACAGCATCTCAAATATTTGTCCAGGCCAGCCTGGGTCACCATCCTCCTATTTATGCTTCCTGAATAGCTGGAATGACAGGTGTGTACCACCACATTCAACTTTTATTGGTTGAGATGAGGTCTTGCAAACCTTTTTCTCAATCTCCACCTCCTGAGTAGCTGGGAATACAAACAAGAGTCAATATGCATGGCCAGACATTGTTATTTTAAATAGCTAAAGGAAAATATTTTAAAAACTAAAATAACATTCAAATTATGCTTCGCCAAATAGAAACTATCCTTAAGGTAACAGAAAAAGTTAAAGACTCAAATAATATCTGAAATAAAAAATTCGCTATATAAAATCAATGCTGAAAAAAGAATAAACACACTTGAAAAAAATTAAGTAAACTGAGATTATCTAGTCTAAGGAAGAGAAAGAAAAAGTAAAAGTAAAAATTAACAAAGCTTTATAATTGTGACACCAGGGAACATGTCATCATACACACAAAGGCAGTCACAGAAGGAAACAGAGTGAGGAAGGGGAGTAAGGGAGAAGAAATATTTGAAAAATAATTACTGAATGCTTCCCAAATTTAGTAATGCAAAATAAGATAAAAACATTAATATACATTCAAGATACTCAAATAACTCCCAATAGTATAAACTCAAAGATATGCAAGAGACATATTACAATCAAATTGTCAAAAGCCCAAGACAATGGGAGAATTTTGGATGTAGCAAGTAAGTTGTCACACTTCATACACAAAGGATCTCCAATAAGATTAGCAGATGATTTATTTGCATTCCAGACAACAGGAATGAAAGGGCATATGCTAAAATATTCAAAGCATAAAAGGAAAACAATTCCAGGAAAACTCAAATACAGAGCTGAATGAAAGAAGATAATTCAGAACATGAAAGAGGAATTCAATAAAGATAGAATTTCTAGGGAAAGCCCCCAAATTGAAATTCTGGAAAAAAAATTTAAAACTCAGTTGAAGCTGGGCATCAGTGGCTCATGCCTGGAATCCTAGCTACTCAGGAGCAGGAATCAGGAGCATTGCAGTTCAAAGCTAACCCAGGCAAATAGTTTGTGAGACCCTATGTTGAAAAAATACATCACAGAAGAAAGAGCTGGTGGAGTGGCTCAAGGTTTAAGCCCTGAGTTCAAACCCTAGTACCAAAAGAAAAAAAAAAAGCAGTTGAAAAACTCTCTAATATATAGAACAAATTTAATACAGAAAGAATATCAGGGCTTGCAGTAAGGTGTATGCAGATAACAGTAAAGAAAAAAACACGAACAGAATATGAAAGACATTTGGGCATCATTAAAAGGCAAACCTAATGAATTATGTGCATAGAAGAAGAGGTGAAAGCTAAGGGCATATATTTAATATGGTAATAGCAGAAATGTTACCAAAGCTTGAGAAAGAGATGATCATTCAGGTACAGTTGGCTTTTAGGACTCCAAACAGATAAGACCAGAATAGAACCTCCCCATCTTATAATATATAAGATATTTATATAATATTTTACATGAAGTATAAAATATTAAAATATTAAGCATACAAAATAAGGAAATAATACTGAAAGCTATAAGAAAGAGGTGCCAAGTCACCTATCATAGCAAACCCATCAGAATAACAGCAGATTTCCAATAGAAACTTTAAAAGCAAGGAGGGCATAGAATGATATATTCAAACCTGAAAGAAAATACTGCCAACTTAAGATTATTGTACCCAGTGCTAGTTATAGTTTACAACTGAAGAAAAAAATAAAATCCTTTCATGATATACAAAAACTAAAGCAATTCATAACCACTAAAACAGTGCTGTAGATTATACTAAATCCTAACAACCTAAGAGGAAGGTAAATGCAACCTCAACAGATAAGTGGATAAGCAAATGAGGATTAAGCAAAAATCAGATATTAAAAATAACAAAAATGGCAGGAATTACTACATACCTATCAACAATAACTCTGAATGTTTAATGGTCTCCACTCTCCCTCAAATGACACAAAACTAGAGAACTGGATAAAACAAAGAAGACCTAACTATTTTGCTATGTGAAGCACACTATGCAAAGACAACAGAGGTTAAGTGAAGATGGTTAAAGATTTTTCACACAGATAGAGCCAAAAGCAAGCAGGAGTAGCAGTACTCATATTTGACAAGACATACTTCAAACCAAAATTAGTCAGAAAAGGCAAAGAAGACAACTTCATATTGATAGAGAAACAATTCTTCAGGAAGATACAATTGAAACATATACACACTGAATATCAGCATACGGTTTCATAAGCAAACACACTGGATGTAAAAGTACAGGTAGATCCACAAGA